AGCAAGGTCAGATTTATTTTCTCAAATGAGCAGCTCCAACTGCCATCAGTCCTTATCATCAGATCCCTCACTTAATGCCCTCCTGTTGCTCTGCTGACAGCATCAGCTTGATATCAGGGTCTCTGAGTGGATTTTCTGCTCTGAACCATTCAGGTTTATAGTAGTCCCAGCCATACTCAAGGCCTACGTGCCACGCATCACTTGTATTCTTGATACAGCCAGATACTCAGCCTCTGCTGCACATACTAACTCACCCCACGCAGCTGCCGTGGCCCAGCCTGCTGTACGGACTTAGCATCTGCTGCACGCACTCACCCACACCAGGCGCTGCTGTTGTGCAGCCAGCCCCATGAGCCCCCTGAAGCCAGCCAAACCCTGCTGTGATCCCCCCCGAGCTCTAGCTGCCTTGAGCCAGGAGCTCCTGGCCCTTCCAAGCTGCTGCCGCTGCTGAGACCTGGGGCAGGAGGAAACAGGATACACCAAGGGACTCCGCAGTAGGAGGGAGGAGGTTGAAAACAGAGGGGAGACAGGTGGAGCCTATTTCTCCAAGTACTTTGTGGTACTCATGTTTGGGCTGCTCTCATGGCACCTGTGGCTCTGAGTGCTCTGCAGCTGGAACAGGGAAAGGGGATCCTCTTTCATGGTGCTTCTTCCAGCAGCTGCTGTGCAGTCAGGGAGTGAGTCTTTTGTACAGGAAAGTGGTGCTTGTTGGTGTGCTCCTAGCTTCTCCCTTCTTGCATTGCCTTGCAAGGGTATAACAGGCAGCAGGGCAGGAGAGCTGGTAAGGAGATGTTGTAGGTACTGCTTCTCCTTTCTGGGGACTGTGGATTGCCAGGCGGGAGAGATGGCAAGGGGGTATCTCAGGTACTGCCTTACCTCCCTGGGATGCAGAGCGTAAGAAAGAAAATCTGGTGGGGAGGTGATCTCACCTGTACCTGATTCATTTATCCTTCTCCTTCTCCGGCTCAGCCATGCTCTGTACTGTCTCCTGTTGTTCCTGTCTCTCAGGATCTGGTGCATGGCTCAGGTTAGGGGCCCTGCCCGGAGGAAAGTGCTGTTTGCAGCCCCCAGCTGGGCCCTTTCCTTGGCGCGCATGCAACGTTCCTGTGCTTCTCGCTCACGGGAGCCGAGGCCCCAGCGCTGCTGCTGGGAGGAGCTGTGGCTGACGAGGCCTGAACTCCGCTTCACCCGGGCCTGGCCCAGCTGCCTCCCTCCTGGCTCCGTCCTACAGCTTTGTTCTCATTGCAGAGCTCCCAGCTGGTGGATGAGCCATGGACAGTGATGCTGGGGTTGTGGGGAAGGAACTGTTTTCTGCTGACCTGAGCTGCAAGGAGCTGGGCCCTTGCAAGCAGGGAACAGTTTGCATCCTTCTGCTTATCCACAACAGCTAATGCAATTCATGTGTCCCCAGGGACTGGTGGGCCCTGGCTGTCATGGGCAGTGCCACCCTTGTCATCATCCTTAGAGCCCAGGCCCATGGGGTACAGAGCTTGGAGAACAGGACAGAGCCTGGACTGTAGGGA